AAGGGCGCTTATCCGGAGTTACTTAACCTTGGTGTCTTCAAGGAGGAGGGCAGGGCCATGGTAACCGAAATGCTTAACGGCATGATGTCGAGATTCCTCAAAGTCTGCGTCACCTTCGACGGTCACGAGGAGTACATAGAAGAGATTGTAAGTAGCGAGACATACACCATGGAAAAGGTAACACATCCATAACTGACTTCCTGCCTTGTCCATTCCAGAAAAAAATCATTCCTGTGGCCGTAGATGAGATGTTCAAAATGGCCAAGATCAATACGCAGGAGTTTAATGCTCTAAATCATGGAGACTTCTGGTCTAACAACGTAATGTTCCAATACGATGCCTTCGGCAAGGTTAAGGAAGTGTATCTTGTGGACTATCAGCTTCCCAAGTACGGTACAGTGGCGCAGGATCTGTTATACTTCCTGCTTTCGTCCACCAAGCTGGAGGATAAGATAAGCAAATTCGATTACTACATCAAGTTCTACCATGACAATCTGATCGAGCATCTGAAGGTCCTCAAGTACACAAGACCCTTGCCCACATTGCGCAGCATTCACTCGTCTCTGCTTAAACATGGAATCTTCGGTAAGTCGATCTATAAAAAATTCCATTCATGGATTCATAAAACCCTTCTCTATCACAGGTTTCTCTATTGTCACTGGAGTTATGAGTGCAGTTCTTTTGGATCCTTCGGAGAATGCCAGCTTTGAGAATTTCGTGGGCGACAGTGAAGCTGGAGAGGCCTTCCAGATGCAGCTCTATACAAATCCTCGCTACCGCAAACATATCCAGGTGATCATGCCCTGGCTCCTCAATCGCGGGGCCCTGGAGACAACAATTTTATGAAATTGTACAATTCATGCCTATTTTGCGATAGAATTTATCGCCAGCGCCGTGTGATAAAGATTTCTTTATCTGTTTTGTTTTTGATAATGTGGCACATACAAGAATTAATACAACAAAAAGAACTATAAATGTTCGCCAAACACCTAAATCGATAACGGTGCTCACAATCGATACAAAAGTCATTGTGGAACTTATATTTGGGATTGATGGGGGACTTGAGTGAGTTGTGATTCGCAGATAAAAAAGAAACCCTGCAGATAGCGTCACTACGTGACTAAAAAACGAATAATAAAAACAAAACACGTGCCAAAAAACTTGAATCTCTACGAGCTTTTCTAACATTGTACTAGCAAAGCTCACTCTCCAAATATGGTGTGATTGGTACGGATACTAGCAGATTTGTGTGAATAGTGAAATTACAATGTTCAAATAGAAATAAAGTTTAAGCTTAAGTTCCTTGTTGGTTGTATTCCACAGAAATTATACTCCAAAAGATGATATCTCTTTCATCGATTTGTTTTATAATAATTTGATTCGGTTTTTACTTATGATTACACGTAAAAATTGATGTCACAGCTTAGCTCATTTCTGGTATTTGGTTGGGTTGTTGGGGTGGACCCAACCAAATATGGGTGGATGGCTTCCCCTACCTCATACCTACCTACCTCCCCTACCTTATATGGCTATAACTCTTTTATAAATATACTACGATAGCAAAAAGCTTTGTGGAACTAGCGTAGCAAAACAAAACGTAAAGACCCAACGCCAATACTAAAAGCTCTCTATCTCTACCAGAAACGACACACAATTGTGATTAGGGTTTTTTTGTCTGGACGTTGATATGCAATGATTGCACCATCAAGTGGCCCATGCGACACCAAGTCAAAGCCTGTTACGCGCGGAACCCAGCAGAACGCAGCCCTCCTCCCGCCCAACCGATCGAGGGGCGCTGCCGCATGACGCGAGGCGCGATTAACCGAACCGGTCGCGAGCATGCAGGAAAGATAGATGTTAGGCTAATATTCGAGGAAAATTAGAGCTAATCATAACTAGACTAGCTCTAGCTCTCTAGCTATAGCTAAGCAAGCAAAAATTACCAAAATCAGAAACAAGACAAAACTAAAATGAAACTAACTACGGGAGAGGTAGGCTAGTATAAGAGATTATTCATTATTTAATTTAAGCCAATAAGCATATACTACACACAATAACACAATACACACTCCACACATAATAAAAGTAGTACAACAGGGGAACGAATTTAATGGTATTTGTATTAGAATTGAGATTATACATATGTATAATATTCACAATATTGGAGCGTCAAAAGACTGCCCTGCTCCATGCTTTAATTCGTTACGTCACTTACGTCACTTGAGAAAGTTGAGATAATATTTATCACTTATTACAAATAGGGCAAAAAAAAACCAAAATTATGGTGGGATGAGAGTCATGCTGAACTTTTTAGAGAATTCCGTGACGCACAAGTGCAAGAAAATGCAGAACCTTCTTTTCAAAAGTACTGCAGGGCGGTTGAGGCAAAGATAAAATGGAAAAAAGCAGTAAAAATTGCAAAAAAAAAAACCAGCTACGCCCGTTAAATAACAGAAATTAACATAAATTCAAACAGCAGAGAAGCGTGGAGGTTTTTAAATAATCTTAAAAACCATCAACTTTAGAACAATTTGATCAAGAAAAAGGGGGAGAGTTTTTGGTATTCCTAAAAGAACAAATACCTGTGGAAGCCAGAAATATTAAAGACTCAAAAATGTATGCAAAAAAACGAGAAGGGACGTGTGAGACGCTTTTTACGCGTGACAACTTTTATACCCGGCACTCAGTACTACTTCTGCACCTTAGCGGTGTTTTGTCAAATTTTAAATTTTTTTCTTTATCTGTCATCTACATCTACAACACTTCTCACACCAACACGCTCCGTTAGCTCGCCGCCCTTCCCTAGACCCACACACTGTAGACTCGAGGCAGAGGCAGAGGCACCGTCCATACAAAAAAAAAGAAAAAACAAATAAAAGCTGCGGGACGGGGTGGGTTAAAAGTCGGAAGAGGAATCGGCAGGGGGAGGGCAGAGGCAGGGGCCGAGTGAAGCAGAAGCAGAGTGTGAATGAGAGAATGTAAAAAGAACAAAAAAAGCTGCGGGACAGGGTGGGTTTAGCCACTGGAAATTCATTTCTCCATTGTGGCTATAATAATGATCCAATCGGATCCCAATTTGGTGATCTGATATAAATGGCCATTCCCTACGGAATGGCGTTTTTAGTTTTCTTTTATCTTCAAAATTGTAGATTTGGGAGGTTTTCGCCCTTTTGCGGGGGCGGAAGGGGCGTAGCTCATTTTTTAAATACACTGGTTTCAGTGTGAGCATACTCAACATACAACAATACAATACAATACATATGCATACAACCAAAATGCTCCCACATTGTCGCAGCTTCGAGCAAATCTGCGCAGGAACAGTCTCTGGGGTAAGGCCTCAATGGCGGAGAATGGTTCTTCATTGTCATGGTCTCTTTATTGCAGCGTTCATATGTGCCCAGCGGATGCTGCCCATAGTTCTGATGCCCCCTGACGAGGGTTCCAATATTGGCAATGTCATGGGCGACTCGGAGGAGGCATCCGCATTCAAGCGTAAGATGTTTCAGTCGCCAGCCTACTAAACTAAAATGATTTTGCCGTGGCTCATTGAACGGTCGTATATAAGATTGCAATGACAAACAGGTTCCAAAGCAGTCTCAAAGTATTCAAAGTTGTATAATAAATATTCACTTTATCAATATCGTTTTGGGTTCAATCAAATCTTCCCCACGAGGATCGCTTATAGATATGCTCCATTCATTATATGATGATGACATATCCCACCAGTAATTAAATTAAATATATGCATGATCATATATGGTTGAAGAAAGCTTTTATGATGGAGAGAAATGATTAAATTCAATTGCTGAAGCTTTTCGACCCCAAACGATAGAGAAGAGCAGATCGAGAGAAAGCTCGCTCTAGCTCTGGCTATTGGCGAAATTTTTTTTTTTTGGCGTCTATCTATAAGTAAGCTAGAAGCTTACCAAAGCTCTAGAGCTATATAAAGCTGAATATAAAACTATCAGCTCACTCCGACTAGCGCCAGTGCACAAAACCGTGTCCAACCAAGCGTATACCTTATTTGCGAGCGTAAATTACTGTAAGAATTTCAATTGTCAACAAAATGGCGGCGAACAATGTCCCCGAGTGGATCAATGCGGAACTATTTGAAGATGTTCTCAAGTCAACAGTGCCTGGCTACACCAAAGTGAAGACCTTTAAGGCTGACGCCGGCTCTGCAGCGGGAGAAAACTATGCAACGATTATGCTGCGTGTCAACATCGAAGTGGAGTTGGAAGGTAATAGCTGGAAGGGCAGCAGTAGTGAAGTAGATCTTGCATATAACGCTCCTCGTTTTCAGAGGGAAAGTCAAAGGATGTTTCCTACATGGTCAAGCTGCCCCATCAGCTGGAGCTTTACAAGGAAATGATGAAGCAGAATAACATCTTCGACGTTGAACGCTTGATGTACTGCGAAGTTGTGCCCGAGATGGAGGCTCTGTACAAGGATGTGGGCGTGGATGTGATTTTCGGCGCCAGAAGCTACGATTTTAAGGGAGCCAAGAGCGATTATGTTGTGCTGGAGGATCTCGGACAAAAGGGCTTTAAAAATGCCAACCGCATGGAGGGACTGGACCAGGCGCACGTCGAAAGAGTTCTAAAGAAGCTAGCCCAATGGCACGCGGCCTCGGCCGTGCGTGTGGCCACCAAGGGCGCTTATCCGGAGTTACTTAACCTTGGTGTCTTCAAGGAGGAGGGCAGGGCCATGGTAACCGAAATGCTTAACGGCATGATGTCGAGATTCCTCAAAGTCTGCGTCACCTTCGACGGTCACGAGGAGTACATAGAAGAGATTGTAAGTAGCGAGACATACACCATGGAAAAGGTAACACATCCATAACTGACTTCCTGCCTTGTCCATTCCANGGCTCTGCAGCGGGAGAAAACTATGCAACGATTATGCTGCGTGTCAACATCGAAGTGGAGTTGGAAGGTAATAGCTGGAAGGGCAGCAGTAGTGAAGTAGATCTTGCATATAACGCTCCTCGTTTTCAGAGGGAAAGTCAAAGGATGTTTCCTACATGGTCAAGCTGCCCCATCAGCTGGAGCTTTACAAGGAAATGATGAAGCAGAATAACATCTTCGACGTTGAACGCTTGATGTACTGCGAAGTTGTGCCCGAGATGGAGGCTCTGTACAAGGATGTGGGCGTGGATGTGATTTTCGGCGCCAGAAGCTACGATTTTAAGGGAGCCAAGAGCGATTATGTTGTGCTGGAGGATCTCGGACAAAAGGGCTTTAAAAATGCCAACCGCATGGAGGGACTGGACCAGGCGCACGTCGAAAGAGTTCTAAAGAAGCTAGCCCAATGGCACGCGGCCTCGGCCGTGCGTGTGGCCACCAAGGGCGCTTATCCGGAGTTACTTAACCTTGGTGTCTTCAAGGAGGAGGGCAGGGCCATGGTAACCGAAATGCTTAACGGCATGATGTCGAGATTCCTCAAAGTCTGCGTCACCTTCGACGGTCACGAGGAGTACATAGAAGAGATTGTAAGTAGCGAGACATACACCATGGAAAAGGTAACACATCCATAACTGACTTCCTGCCTTGTCCATTCCAGAAAAAAATCATTCCTGTGGCCGTAGATGAGATGTTCAAAATGGCCAAGATCAATACGCAGGAGTTTAATGCTCTAAATCATGGAGACTTCTGGTCTAACAACGTAATGTTCCAATACGATGCCTTCGGCAAGGTTAAGGAAGTGTATCTTGTGGACTATCAGCTTCCCAAGTACGGTACAGTGGCGCAGGATCTGTTATACTTCCTGCTTTCGTCCACCAAGCTGGAGGATAAGATAAGCAAATTCGATTACTACATCAAGTTCTACCATGACAATCTGATCGAGCACCTGAAGGTCCTCAAGTACACAAGACCCTTGCCCACATTGCGCAGCATTCACTCGTCTCTGCTTAAACATGGAATCTTCGGTAAGTCGATCTATAAAAAAATACATTCATGGATTCATAACACCCTCCTCTATCACAGGTTTCTCAATTGTTACTGGAGTTATGAGTGCAGTTCTTTTGGATCCTTCGGAGAATGCCAGCTTTGAGAATTTCGTGGGCGACAGTGAATCTGGAGAGGCCTTCCAGATGCAGCTCTATACAAATCCTCGCTACCGCAAACATATCCAGGTGATCATGCCCTGGCTCCTAAATCGCGGGGCCCTGGAGACTAGTGCGCCAACAAGTTCATGAAAATTTACACAATTCATGTTTTTATCTGTTTTGTTTTTGATAATGTGGCACACACAAGTATTAATAAAATCAATAACTTTAAATGTTCGCCAAAACCTATCTTTGGGATTGATAAGGGACTTGAGTGGGTTGTGACCAACGATTTCCACAGAAATAAAAGAAACTCTGAAGATAGCGTCACTACGTCACTTAAAACGAATAATAACAACAAAACACTTGCTAAAAAACTTGAATCTCTACGAGTTTTCTAGCATTGTACACTCTACAAATATGGCGTGATTTGTACGAATACTAGCAGGTTTGTGTGAATAGTGAAATTACAATGTTCATATAGAAATAAACTTTAAGCTGAAGGCCGTTGAAGCTCCCAGTTGGTTGTATTCCACAGAAATTCTACACCAAAAGATGATATCTCTTTAATCAATTTTTTTTTATAATAATTTCATTCTGTTTTTACTTATGATTACACGCAAAAATTGATGTCACAGCTTAGCTTATTTCTGGTATTTGGTTGGGTTGTTTGGGTGTTTAAGTCATTAACCTACATACCCAAATATGGGTGGATGGCTTCCCCTTCATACCTACCTACCTCCCCTACCTTATATGGCTATAACTCTTTTATAAATATACTACGATAGCAAAAAGCTTTGTGGAACTAGCGTAGCAAAACAAAACGCAAAGACCCAACGCCAATACTAAAAGCTCTCTCTCTCTCTCTCTGAAACGACACACACTTGCGATTAGATCTTTTATTTCATTTACTAAGCCAATAAGCAAACACTCCACTCACAATAAAAGTAGTACAGCAGGGAAACGAAATTTGTGATATTTGTATTTGTATTAGAATTGAGTTTATACATATATTTAATCGCAATATTGGAGTGTCGAAAGACTGCCCTGCTCCATGCTTTAAATCGTTACGCAGTACTGTCTAGTTAATAGATAGTCCTAGAATCTCTGGCTTGTATAAGGTATATACATATGTAGTATTATATACCTAATAAAACCTTATCACTTGAGAAAGTATGAGATTATATTTATCATTTAGAGAGTAAATATTTGATCAAGCGACTATTTAAAGGGCTACTTTCTCTAATAGAGCGACAAAAGTGATGTGGGTCTGAATGCAATCATGGACAAACAGAGATCTTTCAAGGTCTTTTAAAAAATAAGATAAAAGGATTACGGGGAAACAAAGTCCTTGAGGGCCAAGGGGTAGAACTATGCCACCAGAGTGCTAAGGGTTGAGTTGGATGTAGAAACTGAAAGTCGGTACTGCTCTAAACGAATCGATTTTAATCAGATTCTAAAAAAAAACTTTGTGTTACCATTTCAGACAAGAGCCTTTATGCTGAAGACACCCATGCCTGCCCATCGCCCACTACTAATACCAGGAAATAATATATTCGATACAGAGCTTGGAATGTACATGAAAGTAGTCCTCGAAATGGAGAAAATGTATAACGATGTTGGTGATCTGGACGTTGATATGCAATGACTGCACCATCAAGTGGCCCATGCGACACCAAGCCAAAGCCTGTTACACGCGGAACCCAGCAGAACGCAGCCCTCCTCCCGCCCAACCGACCGAGGGGCGCTGCCGCATGACGCGAGGCGCGATTAACCGAACCGGTCGCAAGCATGCAGGAAAGATAGAGTTTAGGCTAATATTCGAGGAAAATTAGAGCTAAACACAACTAGACTAGAGCTACTATAGCTAAGCAAGCAAAAATCAGAAACAAGACAAAACTAAAATGAAACTAACTACGGGAGAGGTAGGCTAGTATAAGCGATTTAAGAAGACTACCACATTATATCCTCAACTAACTCCCTTCAGTTGAGGATATAATGTGGTAGAGGGAATTATAATCCGAGCATAAAACCCGAAAGGGTTCGTGTGAGGCATAATTCGGTCTAGATAGTGGAAGGAACAAAGGAATAAAGTTTCTAGTGGGTCTAATGGGAATCGTACAGTTTATGCGGCTCAGCAAGTCAGGGCTGTCTACATCCCCCTTGATCAAGTTGTGCTTAAAAATTACAAAAAACATTTTTCTACGACTAACTAAGGATGGAAGATTTATTAAAAGACGTCTACTACGGTAGGATGGCAGTCTTACAGTTGCATCCCAGTTGAGGCCCCGTAGGGCAAATAATAAAAAGTTTTTCTGTACTGATTCAATACGGTCCTGATGTATGTTGTACTGAGGCACCATACACATGAGCCGTATTCTAAAATCGGACGAACAAGCGAGATATAGAGAGTCTTCGTTATATAGGGGTCATCAAATTCCTTTGACCACCTCTTTATAAACCCAAGCACACCCATGGCTTTATTTACCATGGTAGAAATGTGTTCAGAAAACTTTAACTTGGGGTCTTGTTTAACACCTAGATCATCAACCAATGTAATTCTCTCAAGAGAACTACCGCAGAGGGTGTAAGAAGCCAGGAAGGGGCTGGAGCGATAAAAAGTCATTACATGGCACTTCGAGGCATTAAGTTGTAACATATTTGCACAGCACCATGACTGAAAGCTATTGAGATCAGATTGCAAGCGACTGTTAAATGAAATGTCCTTATACTGGACACATAGTTTAACATCATCCGCATACATAAGTACTCGAGAATTTGTTAATACAGAAGGCAGGTCATTAATAAAGAGTGTGAAAAGTAAGGGGCCTAAATGGCTACCCTGTGGTACTCCAGAAGTAACCACCCACACCGAGAGCACTCTGCGGAAATTCTCCCAGTGGCATGCAATGGCAGCATGAAGTCAAGTCATGGCTGAAGTACATAGAACTCTACAAAGGACACGAGACGTACAAAAAAGACTTGGTAAGAAAAATATTGGGAAAAATGGTCGATCATCTGAATGCCTCTTCTAAATTGTATTTGCAGCATAATATATGCACAAAGTTAATAGATGTTGTGATTGATATATGTAGGCCAGTCAAAGCCTGAGGAATTCAATGTTCTCAACATTGAAGATGCTTGGAGCAATAACATTATGTTTCAGTACAATGAGATAATATCTCATTTATCAAACAAATATTTCGTTGATCTTCAACTACCAAAGTGGGGAACAATAGCACAGGTATCGATTCCTGGCTGATATTCGCTATCTTTCTTAGGATTTATATTACCTCCTACTTTCATCCCCCAGTTTGGATATTAAAACAACGAAATTCGACTATTTCGTTTGGTTTTATCACTCGGAGCTCGTGAAGCATATACAATTGCTGAAATATGCGAAACCTCCACCCACGCTGAAAAGTATCCTCCACGATCTGTACAGGTACAGGGGCTGGGGTAAGTAATGCTCATTAAAATCGTTTTAAAATACATTTCAAATATGACTCGAATCTATACCTCAGGTTTCGCTTGCACCTTATGGATAATGGGTTTTAATGGATCCTAAGGAGGCTAATGGTTTCGAAGCACTCTTCAGTAATGAAGAAAGTAGTTTTAAGAAATAAATGTACACCAATCCCAGATACCGTAAGCATGTGGAAGTTATTATGCCATGGCTGAAACATCGTGGGTCTCTGGAATAGACAAAATATTGTAAATATATGTAAATAGAAACTGGTAGAAGTTCTTTTATACAATGCACACCATTTTAGATAAGAGGAACACGATGTTTTGTCAATAGAAATGCCATAGAAGAGATAAAAAATTACCTGAACGGAAAAGATCATATTATCAACAAGACATCTATAGCCATTTATATTTTATACATACATTAAAATTCAGAGCTATATTAATCAAGTTTTGCGTTCAATTTTCATTTTGTCCTGGCCAGTTACGTATGTATAAAACGTAACAAATTGTAAAATGCTTATCTTTTGGATGATGACTTTAACAAATCTAAGCTCTAGCCACTAATTAAAGTTTTTTTTGTGCCTAGTCACAATGAGAATATAAAGCTTTCAGACAATCTTGTCGTCTGTCTTGTTTGATAATGTTTATCGCTAATAGCAGAAATAATTTCTCAAGACCATTTAAATGGTTGCGCTAGAGTGCAGCCCACATCACTAAGAGTGTATCTCTCAAAGCGAAATAAACAGCACAGTGAACAGTTCTGACAAAATATGCCGCCACAGACCAAGGATGAAGACCCGTGCACGGAATCCATTTTATTTCCGGAATGGGTGAAGCCAGAAATCTTTCAGGATATTTTAAAACTGCAGGTTAAGAATTACAAGGAAACAAAGTCCTTGAGAGCCAGCGCAGGTGTTGCCAAGGGGGAGAACTATGCCACAATAATGTTGAGGGTTGAGTTGGATGTAGAAACAGAAGGTACTCTTTAGATTTAATCTGCTTAGATTGATTAAATAACATATCTTTGTGTAAATTCTAGATAAATCACAGGTAACAAAGGCCTATATGCTGAAGATAGCCCACGATTCAGACGCTTATCGAAAGATCTTAGAAAAATCGAACATATTCGATACAGAGCGGGGAATGTACTTGAAAATAGTGCCCGAAATGGAGAAAATGTATCGCGATGTTGGTCTCGAGGTGAAGTTCGGGGCACAGTCTTACGAGATCCCTACCAACGAAAACTATGTCCTGCTGGAAGACCTGAAGCCCCAAGGGTTCAAGAATGTCGATCGTCTACAGGGGTTGGATCAAGTCCACACCGAAAGCGCTCTGCGCAAATTCGCTCAGTGGCATGCCGCATCGGCAGTCCGTGTGGATACCAAGGGGCCCTACGAGGAGAGGTACACAAAATGATTCTTCCAGTGCCCAGAAATCGCTGATNATTTCTCAAGACCATTTAAATGGTTGCGCTAGAGTGCAGCCCACATCACTAAGAGTGTATCTCTCAAAGCGAAATAAACAGCACAGTGAACAGTTCTGACAAAATATGCCGCCACAGACCAAGGATGAAGACCCGTGCACGGAATCCATTTTATTTCCGGAATGGGTGAAGCCAGAAATCTTTCAGGATATTTTAAAACTGCAGGTTAAGAATTACAAGGAAACAAAGTCCTTGAGAGCCAGCGCAGGTGTTGCCAAGGGGGAGAACTATGCCACAATAATGTTGAGGGTTGAGTTGGATGTAGAAACAGAAGGTACTCTTTAGATTTAATCTGCTTAGATTGATTAAATAACATATCTTTGTGTAAATTCTAGATAAATCACAGGTAACAAAGGCCTATATGCTGAAGATAGCCCACGATTCAGACGCTTATCGAAAGATCTTAGAAAAATCGAACATATTCGATACAGAGCGGGGAATGTACTTGAAAATAGTGCCCGAAATGGAGAAAATGTATCGCGATGTTGGTCTCGAGGTGAAGTTCGGGGCACAGTCTTACGAGATCCCTACCAACGAAAACTATGTCCTGCTGGAAGACCTGAAGCCCCAAGGGTTCAAGAATGTCGATCGTCTACAGGGGTTGGATCAAGTCCACACCGAAAGCGCTCTGCGCAAATTCGCTCAGTGGCATGCCGCATCGGCAGTCCGTGTGGATACAAAGGGGCCCTACGAGGAGAGGTACACAAAAGGATTCTTCCAGAGCCCAGAAATCGTTGATGCCTTGTTTAAAGGCAGCATGAAGTCGCTGCTGAAGTACATAGAGCACTATGAGGGACGCGAAACATACTTAAAAGATTTGGTAGGCCGAATATCAAAGTAAATTTCAATGAATATCTTATTAACTTATCCAAAAATGTCTCTACAGCTCAGTATCTCGGAAAAGCTGGATGATATAGCGACTAAAATAATCGAATCGAATCCTGATGAGTTCAATGCCCTGAACCATGGCGATGGTTGGTGCAATAACATCATGTATCAGTACAACGAGAAAAATGAGATATCGAACACATATTTCGTGGATCTTCAACTACCGAAGTGGGGATCAGTGGCACAGGTAAATATTCGACTCTTATTCCATCGCAATTGCCAGCTAATCATCTTATTTATCTCAGGATTTGTACTACTTTCTCATATCGTCAACAAGTTTGGACATAAAAACATCAAAATTTGATTACTTCATTTGGTTCTATCATTCGGAACTCGTTAAGCATCTCCAATTGCTGAAATATTCGAAGCCTCTGCCCACGCTGAGAGGCATCCGTAATGATCTGTCCAATCACAGTGGTTGGGGTGAGTAATTCTATCCTAATATCCCATTAGCAATCTTAATTATAATCATAAATCTATTAGGTTTAGTGTGCTGCACATCTGTAATGGGAGTTGTTTTACTGGATCCAATAGAGGATGATGATGGTGATTTCGATCAAATCCTTAGCAGTGAAGACAGTAGCTTCAAGAAATCCATTTTCACCAATCCCAGATACCGAAAGCATGCAAAGGTCCTTTTGCCTTGGCTGCAGCATCGTGGCGCCATGGAATAGTATTAATCAGAGTTATGCATAGGCTCTCAGTAAACGACAAAGCTCAAGTTTCTATGAGGTTCGAAAGATTACAATAAGTGACATCCTTGTACCTATATTTTATGATATGATAGTAATTAAATACACTTCTGCTAATCGAAAGCCCAAACATGTCATCCAATTTTTTGGGAGAGGAATAAAAACGAGGAGGAACGTGAGACGCTTCGTACGCATCAGAACTTTTATACTCGGTCTCTATACTCAGTGAGTGTATGTGTATGTGTCCATACATATGTATGTACATACATAAATATGTGTGTACATAACCTTATATTTTCAAATTTCACATTTTACATTTTACAGCTTTTTTACATCTGTCAGCTACAGCTACATAAGTTTTCACACCAACATGCCCTTTTAGTTAACAGATATATTATATAATAATTATACCAGGCACCCGACGAGTAAATACAGTATATTGTATTGGTGGGCGAAAAATGTCACAAACAGAAGCAAGCGTTTCAGTATCAATAGCCGAGTCGATAGCCATATCTATCAGATCACCGAATAAGGATCAGATTTTATCATTTTTATTACCAGAATGAGAAAATTCATTTGCAGTGGCTAGGTCCCACCCCTTCTGGCAGCTTTGTTTATTTTTTTCTCATTCTCTCATTCCACACTCTGCCTCATGCAGTGCACTGCAGTATGCGGCTCTGGGAGAAGTGGCGTGCTGAAAGGGCGTGTTGGTGTGAGAAGTGTTGTAAGTGTAGATGTAGGTGTAGATAACAGATGTAGATTAAATTTATAATTCGAAAAAATCATGAGATAAAATACATAGGAATGTACATATGTATGTATATAAAGACTGAGGACCCGATATAAAAGTTGTGACGCTCACGAAGCGTCTCACAAACGTCCCTACTCGTTTTATTGTGTTATTGCTCACATACGCACAAATTGCTGTCAGAGCTAAGCTCGTTTATTGTAATTTGTCGTAATTTGTTAACCAAATATGGGTGGATGGCCTTCAACTCCTTACCTTATACACTTATGTTGCTACACTACAACAGCAGAGAGCTTTGTGGAACTAAAGTAGCAAAACAAAACGCGAAAAACCAATGGCAATACTTAAAGCTCTCTCTCTCTCCCAGAAACGACACACACTTTTGATTATATCTTTTATTTTATTAACTAAGCCAATAAGCAAACATTCTACACATAATAAAAGTAGAACAACATGGGAATGCATTTGGTGGTATCATCATAATAATATAGCGACAAAAGGAGACCTACCCTATGCCTTAATTCGTGACGCGGTCGAGAGTACTGTCTAGTTAATAGATCTGTGGCGTGGTTAAACACAAGGTATATAATATTATGTAACTGAGAACCCTTTATCACTTGAGAAAGTATGAGATTATATTCGAGTTCAATAAATTGCTCAAGAGACTATTTAAAGGGCTACTCTCTCAAACAGAAATGCAGTTGGTCGGCACTCTTCAGTAATGATAAAGAAAGATTTGGAAAATCAATGTACACCAATCCCAGAACCGTAAGCACGAGGAAGTCCTTTTGTCATGGCTAAAATATCGTGGAGCTCTGGAATAAAAAATCTAAACACATGTACATATGTATGTAATTCTTTATTACCATTTTAGATAACAGGAACACTACACGAATTGACCTGAACGGATATGAATCATATTATATTAATGAAAGCTATAGCCCTTTGTATTTTATACATTTAAGAGGGAGTGGGAAAGCCAGCCCACTGACGCCATTGGTTGGCGACGGCGAACAGCAGTAGCAGCAGGACAACAGCAGAACGAGATCAACAGCAGTTAAACAGCAAATAAGAAGCAACGGCAGAGTGAGAGGACACAGCAGAGAAGCAGAGCAGGAGAAGCAGAGTGGCAAGAAGATATTCGCAGCAGTAGCAACAGAAGAAACCAAGTCGGGACTTAAAACGCCAATTTTCTTACAATTCTAAATCTAAATACATTTACACTGTCTTGCGATTGGAATGATTCTGAACTTGAATGAAGTTGCAAGTCCTGGCCAGTTGGGTATATAAAGTAAACAATTTTAAAACGCTTATCTTTTCGAAGATGACTTGAGCAAACCCCAAGCCCCTTTTCTGCCTAGTCACAATGAGAATATAAAGATTTAGTACTTATATGACTTGTCGTCTGTCCTATATGATAATGTTTATCGTTTATAACAGAAATATTTTTTTGCGAAACTATTTAAATGGTTGCTGTAAAAGGCAGCCCCCAGCACTACGAGTATAACTCTCAAAGCGAAATAATCAGAACAGTGAAAATAATCTGACAATATGCCGCCACAGACCAAGGATGAACACCCGTGTACAGAAGCCATTCTAATTCCGGAATGGGTGAAGCCAGTGATCTTCCAGGATCTTTTAAAACAGCAGGTTAAGGATTACAAGGAAACAAACTCATTGAGAGCCAGCGCAGGTGTAGCCAAGGGTGAAAACTATGCCACAATAATGCTGAGGGTCGAGTTGGATGTAGAAATTGAAGGTGGGTACTCCTCGGATATAATCTGCTTAGATTAATTAAATAACATATCTTTTGTGTAAATTCTAGATAAATCACAGGTAACAAAGGCCTATATGCTGAAGATAGCCCACGATTCAGACGCTTATCGAAAGATCTTAGAAAAATCGAACATATTCGATACAGAGCGGGGAATGTACTTGAAAATAGTGCCCGAAATGGAGAAAATGTATCGCGATGTTGGTCTCGAGGTGAAGTTCGGGGCACAGTCTTACGAGATCCCTACCAACGAAAACTATGTCCTGCTGGAAGACCTGAAGCCCCAAGGGTTCAAGAATGTCGATCGTCTACAGGGGGTGGATCAAG